GAACCTTATTTCTGTATACAGAGAATGGAGATAATAGTAGTATATACTTCATAGGTTTCTTATGAGAAGTTGATGAGATAATGCTTATGATGCACTTTCAAAAGTGCTAGTTGCTATTATCATCACCACCACCATAAGCAGTACCACCATCATCACCATCACTACCATCATCATAATACCATCATCATTACCACCACCATCAATACCATCAACATTATCATCATCTCCACCATCACCATCACCATCATCACCATAACACCATCATCATCGCCACCATCATCACCATAACACCGTCATCACCACTACCATCAATACCATCAACATTATCGTCATCATCTTCGATCCTCACCATCACCGCCGCCGTCATCATCACTACTACTGCCACCATCATCACTGTCATCAGCATCACCATAAATGTCATCATTGCATCATCACCATCATTACCACCGGCACCATTATCACCACCACAAGCACCATCAACCCTATCAAGTTGCCATCACCATCATGATCACAACCATCACCTCCATGGCTACAGTCTTAATCTAAACTACCATCATTGCTTATCTGGATCATCACAATAGTCCCCAACATCTTCTCATACCCGTTCTTGCCCTCTCTAATCTATTTTCCACTGTGTAACCCAAGTGATCTTTTAAAAACACAATCTCATGTCACTCACATATTTAAACTATATCAGTAGCTCTCCATGGAAGATGGGGTAAAATCCAAAACTGTTAACATGGTTTAACTAGTCAACCTTGGAAATCCTTTAGCCTTAAAACTAACAGGTGTATTGGTCACTTGAGGATCTTAGCAAAAGCTCTTTCCTTTGCCAGTAACACTGTTCCTCTTGCCCTTTCCTCTTTCCTTCCTTACATGAGCAAAGCCTCTTTGGAATGGTAACATTCACTGTCTCTGCTCTCCAACTGACTGCACAACGGCTTCTTCCCCCATCTTTTCATTGAAACTGATCAGAAAAAGAGCATTATAGCACCTGCTGGTGAAGTCAATGAGTCTATTTTTAGCCTTATCTGACTTGACCTTTCTGAGAGTCTGACACAGCTAACCACTCTTTCTTCAAAGTTTCTTCTGCCTTTGTCTCTCCTTCCTGCTTTCTTGGTTCTTTTCATCTTCCTCTGGATGATTCTTCTTTTTTCCTTCATTTGCCCCTCTTTATCAGCCCCTTAGAAGTTGATTGCCCAAGGTTTCCTACTTAGAACCTTTCTTTTGCTCTTCTCATTCTCCATGGGTGATCCTACCTATTCATGTGATATCCACTGCATAACAACTCCCAAATCCTCATCTCTAGGGCCTTTCTCCCTCCTCAGCTCCAAGTCCATGCTCCTCTATGAGAGTGTTTCAGAAAGATGCCAAACAGAACATTCATAAAGCTGAAATCTCAGAACATCCTTCCTTTCTCTGCTGGTATCTCAGTGAATGGTACCAACGCCCATTCAGTTGCTCAAGCAAAAGCTTGAGTCATCCTTGTTTCCTTTCTTTATCTTCCTCCGTACATCAAGTTAATCATCAAGTTCTATTGACTCTGCCTGTTTAGATGCACTTGGATCTGTTGGCTTGTCTTTGTAACCTATGCCACTCCCCTTAGTTCATCATATCCCACCTACACTACAGCCATGGCTTTCTAATTCCTCTGCCTTTCACCAGCCTTTCCTCTCTCCTACACTTTTTGTACTTTGGTCGGAGTTGAAGGAAAACAGATCCCTAAATGATTTCTTAGAGAACTGGTTGTCTAACTTATACAAGAAAGGGTTTCTTAGGCAAATAAGAAATGACTGACTTAACAGAACATCACTACTGTGGCTCTTTATTAGAACCCATCATGCAGAACAGCATATTAAAGATTCTAAGAAGTCCTGTCACAAAGGAATTGGTTCAGAAATTTAACCAAGCAACTCCAAACTCCTTTGACCATAAAAAAACCTTCTCCAGAATGCACTTCCTAACACCTTGCAGGACACTACAAACTGTTTCAAAATACAAATCTGATCATCTTTCTTTACTTAAAGATATGACAGATAAATGGATAAACACTAAAGGATGATTTTAATTTTATTCTATGGGCGATTGGAGAACCCATGGAGATTCTTGAGCAGGGTAAAGACATAATATCCACACAGTCAATAACTTCCAAGGACTGAGCTCCTGCTATATTCTGGATGCTTCTCATCTATAATTTCTGATCCTTAACAATGAGGCTACAGGCAGGCATAATCCCAAGGTGAGGGGACTGAGCCAGGTTGACAAAGTGTTGGGTCTAAGGCCATACAACCAGTAAGGGTGGAGTGGTATCAAGTTCAAGGTCTAGATGATTTTAAAGCCAAGGCTGTTTTCAATGAGCAGGTGACATGGTGCCTCTAGGACAGATGTGAAACAAGAAAAATCAGAAGGCTGGGACCTAAACTTCTAGGAGGCTATCACTTCTTTCTTTGTTCTTTCTCCACCTCTGTTTTCATACTTCTCCAGATAATACTTCAAGTACTAGCCATTCTTCATTTTTTGTTAAGATTTATTGATGTGGATCATTTTAAAAGTCTTTAATGAATGTGTTACAACAGTGCTTCTGTTTTGTGTTTTGGTTTTTCGGCCACGAGGCATGTGGGATCTTAGCTCCTTGACCAGGGGTTGAACCTGCACCCCCTTCATTGGAAGGTGAAGTCTTCATCACTGGATAACCAGGGAAGTCCTTGAGCCATTCTTTCCAAGCTCGGGTCTCCTTGCCCTTTCTGTAGGCTATTGTATTTTTTCCCCTTAAGCACCCAGCAAAACATAAGATGGCTCCAGGAAAGCCTCTCTCTTGCTTGAAAGCTATGTGTCTAGTGCCTGTCTGAGCCCAGATTCCTCAGCTTGATATTCTAGGCCCTCCCTTATCCGCTATTAAATTTCCTTTTTGATCTTGACACTAGATACTTTTCTAAATATAACCCATGCCCCAGCCAAACCCAACTACCCACTGTTCAGCAGCCTCCCTGTCTTTGTTCTTGCCGTGTCCTCCTCTTAGAAAGCCCTCTTCAGTACTGCCTCTTCCAATCCACCAATCCTTTCGGGTCCCTTTTCACCGTACCTCCACAGAACACAGGCTTCCCTGGAGGCTCAGATGGTAAAGAGTCTGTCTGCAATGCAGGAACTCTGGGTTCAATCCCTGGGTTGGGAAGGTACCCTAGAGAAGCGGATGGCTATCCACACAAGTATTGTTGCCTGGGAAATCCCATGGACATAGGATCATGGGCTACAGTACATGGGGTTGAAAAGAGTTGGACATGACTGAGCAACTTAGCATGCATGCACACCACAGAGCACATCCTAATCTGATTAGTCTAACCACTTGCTTTGGGTTCCAGCCCCAAAGGGCAAGGAGGTGCTCCAAACATGGAAATTGGGTTGCCTTCTGAAATTAAACTAGTAAACCCCATTGTAGATGGCATCAGCTATCTGCAAAGATGATATACCCAAAGGAAGGCTCAAGAAGTAGAGTTAAGGAGATCTGAAAACATCCTTTTGGAGGAAAGTGCCTAGGACTTATTCCCGGGACACAATTGTACACACATATCTGGAACCATAAGATGCAGATAAGGCCCTCATCAGATCAGTTATAGGAAACAGAGGTAAGAACCAACACAGAATCAATTGTGACAATAGGCCAAGACAGCGACCTAATCAATTACATTCGGCTCGGTGTGTTGAAGCACAGCGTATGCTGTTATAGACAGAAGGCAGCCAAATGCACAGACGTGGAGAGGCTGCTGCCAGGGTCGACTGGAAGAGACGCTTGCCGAGTCTGGGAAATGCTGACTTCCGGGACATGGCAGGGTTGGTGATTACAGGACTAGAGATGGTTTATCCAGCTCTCTCAGATCTGATGAATGTTCCCAAGATCCTCCTGCTTCCCTTGTTCAAATGACAAACCCAGCAAAGCCAGCTCTGGAGAATCAGTTTGGCTTTGGCTTACTTTCACATCATCAAAAAGGAATACTCTGAGCAGTGGAAAGCGATATCCTTGCTGTATCTACCTCACAGGTTCAGCCAGATAATGTAGAGGGATTGATTCAGGCATGTATATAGGAAAGAAAGAAAAGTGTTAGTTGCTTAGTTATGTCCGACTCTTTGTGACCCCATGGACTGTAGCCTGCCAGGCTCCTCTGTCCATGGGATTCTCCAGGCAAGAATACTAGAGTCAGTTGCCATGTCCTTCTCCAGGGGATCTTCCTGACCTGGGGATTGAACCTGGGTCTCCTGCATTGCAAGTGGATTCTTTACCATCTGAGCCACCAGGGAAGCCCCATGTATATAGAAATTGTTCAATAAATGTTGTATTTAAAATTAATCAGTGTATTATGGCTCTGCTTCTGATGACAAGCTCTCATACATTTGGTTAAGGTTAATTGGCTTCCTGGTGTCAAGGTGCCCTGGTGACTGTGGGTACTTGGATTTGCAAAACAGATTCTGTGACGCTGGATGAGAATGAACCAGTTGAAGTACAGCCTCAGAAAGGGCCTGGCAACCAGGCACCTGGTCAAGGGCATCTCTAGTTTATTACCATCCTCTAAAACCTCCCTTTTCTAAGCATCCAGGGCATGTCTGGGAAAATAACTCTTGTTCTGTGTTCAATGCAATCACTTGTGTATTCCAATTCCATTAGAGTGTGAACTCTTTGAGGCTGGAGGGAACACATATATCCCTTGCAGAGCCTCAAATGTCATAAATAAGGAACAAGTTGAAATAAGATAAATCAAAGCTTGAGCAAATGACCTAGGATTTGAAGGAAGGCTACACACTCTGCTCCCGCCCCCAGAGCTGCAGAGCCTTGGAGAGGAAGCCCAGAGCTGCAGGAGGAGAGCATCCCTCTGGTGCCCACCCCTCCCCGCCATCCAGGGAGTGGATACAGGAGAGCTGTCAGGCTGAAGGAGGGATGCTCAGCCACCCAGGAAGAGTGAGGGAGAGACGGACAAACGGATGGAGCAGGTGGCGTCTGCCACACTCACCCGGATCTCGGTCTGCACAGTGCATTTAACCAGTTTGAAGTTCTTCCCAGGGTTGAAGCTGTTGCTATAGAAGCAGACCTTGAGGATCCTCACGTCTTCCTTTTCCACGTCTACTGGCACCACCACCATGGGCTCTGGGGGGCCTTCAGGCCGACGTAATGTGCCCACCTTCACTCGGCTCAGGGTCTCAGACACCCCGGACATCCTCTCTGACGGCAGCTAGGACCAGCACATCGCAGTCCTGCGGAGACAGCAGAGGGATGGCCCTGAAGTGATGGGCGTGGGCCCACCTGCCTCACCCCCCAGGGGCAGCACCCAGAAAGCACACATCCTCCGACTCTTGAAGACGCCCCTTAAAGGCATCCGGCTTGGAGGATGGGGAAGTGGAAGCACAAAGGAGCAGTCTGAATGAGCATCCAGGTACCAGCCAGAGGACCTGGTGCGTGCAGGCGGGTGCTCTCTGCGAGGGGCCCCTTCTCCCCATCACTTTCCTCCTCCCACACTGGTTCCTAGGCAAGGGGCCCATACTTTGCAAACGCAGCTGTGAGAGGAGGCGGCCCCAGCATGATTCCAAGGCACAGCTGAGCAGAAAAAGCGAAGAGCAAGACAGTAGAAAATAGCAGGAGAGAAACAGGGACAAGGGAGGAGAAGCCGGGAAGAAACAGAAGTAGAAAATGGATAGCCTGGAGGGCAGTGGGGTGGGGAAGCCAGGAAAGGGTCCAGGTAGTGGCCAGCTGGGGGCTGATGGCTTTGCCCGCACCCACCTGCAGCTGCCAGCCTGGATTTCAGGGCTGGCAGCCTCGGTCCCACTGAAAGTCATCTCCCAGAGCGTCTGTCACCATATCAGATGGCGCCCTGGCATCCCAATCTGAGAGGTCTTTCTGCTGGGGCAGGGGTGTCGAGGGGGTTGGGGGGTGTGACTGGGCCCCTAGAAGACCAAGCCCAGTTCTGATGACAGTTTGGTTGACATCTACATGGACTATAAGCACCCTAGGAATCTTCAGTTCACCCCGAATCTCAGCCAACACTGGCCCTGGCTTCTTGATCCAAGCACAGCTCTGTAGGGTCTACTATCACTGGTCTAAAGCAGGAATACTCAAAGGGAGCAAAGGAAGCCTGACACCAGACTGGAGATGCCAATCTTGGCTCTGCATTAATATCTCCTGGGAAGCTGTTAAGAGTGTCTAAATCCAGACCCATGCCCAGAGATTGTCAGTGAGGTGGCCTGGGGGAGGCCTGGCATTGGTATTTTTGTTTCCAAGGATGTTTCTAACATTCAGGCTAGGTTGGGAACTTCTGTTCTAGACTAAGTTTAGTTCTCATCGAAACCCATTCCTACAGAGAAATCTCTCCCTTCTAACAAGAGACTGTGATTTTAGGGGGACATTCCTAGACTAGGAGTTGGGGACTGAAGGATGGAGTGACAAGTGAACTTATTCATGAAACAGAAATAGAGTCACAGATGTAGAGAACAAACTTCTGGTTGCCAGAGAGTAAGAGGAGGGGAGGGATGAATTGGACTTGTACTGACATATACACACCACTACATATAAAATAGATAACTAATAAGGACCTGGGCTTCCCAGGTGTCTCAGTGGTAAATAATCTGCCTGCCAAGCAGGAGACACAGGTTCGATCCCTGGGTCGGGAAGATCCCCTGGAGAAGGAAATGGTAACCCATTCCAGTATTCTTGATGGGAAAATTCCATGGACAGAGGAGCCTGGCTGGCTACAGTCCATGGGGTTGCAAACAGTTGGACATGACTGAGCGATTGAACATACACCACACACCAGAATGTAATGAATGTACCATTCTGGTGGGGGATGTTGGTAACCAGGGTGACTATGCATGTTTGAGGGCAGGGGGTAGACGGGAAATCTCTGTACCTTGATACCACTGACATTGGCACAAACTCCATGTAAGAAGAAAAAAGTGTCAGCCCAGCATGGAACATCCCAGTCTGTGAAGAGTCTTGAACCCTCCTGGCTTAGAGAGTGTCAACCCCTTCCCAAGCTAGGATGTGGTCATGATAGGTCCTGGAGGGACTTAAGAGTCTGGGCAAAAGGCCTCAGTCCAGAAAGGTGGTCACCACATCTCTGATGACACATGGCAACTCCCTCAAGGGCATCTGAAACCACCAGCTGTCAGTACAGATATGCAGTGAACTGCCAAAGGGGTCCCTCCTGAACTCTCTGAAGCTGAGTAACTGAAAGGTGTTCTATAATCAAAGCCTCAGCTACCTGCCTTTGGGGTCTTAGAGAAAACAGCCCTCAGCCTCATGCATGGTCTTCTCTCCCAGCCCCCCACGGCTGATTTCAACCTACTGATGTACGGCAGTGGACGCAGTGTGGAAGACAGAATAACCCACTGACTCTAGCTCATGCTTCCTGACAACACAACCTGCCTGTTCCTCCAGACTTTGCTTGCTAACTTGAATCTCTCATTGACAGCTTGCCTCTGGATTTTGATGATCACAAAATCCTCTGGCTCTCCATGTGTGAGTCAAAACCCCTGCCCTCCAGTCCAGACCTGGACCGCAGCCTGGCGACCCCTTCTCCCAGGGTCCCGGCCAGCCCCAGACCCTGTGAGCACTGGCAGAGCAAAGACCATCCCACCACCCTGGGGAGAACCCTGGCAGTGAGCCAGTGTGGGCTCCGGGCTGCTTCCCAACCCCCAGATCTGCCCAAGTCAGAGCCAAAGAATAACAAACACAAGGAAATGGGCTCAAATTAAAACAGGAAAAGTTTTGATTGGCTCTAAGAACGTCTTGGACAAGACCTGCCAAGGGCACTGAGGTGAACAGTCTCTGAGTCCCTGGAGACTCCAGGAAAAAAATAAAGGACCCTCTTCCTGAACACAAGACATTCACCTGCCTGAAGGGGGCAGGGGGAAATTAGGAAATTTATTTATTTATTTTTAACTTTTTATTTTATATTGGAGTATAGCTGTGAGATGGCTAGATACCATCACCAACTCAATGGACAGGAGTTTGAGCAAATTCCAGCAGATGGTGAAGGACAGGGAAGCCTGATGTGCTATAGTCTATGGGGTCCAAAAGAGTCAGACATGACTTAGCAACTAAACTATGATAGCTGATCAACCATGTTGTGATAGTTTCAGGTGGGGAGTAAAAGGACTCAGCCATACATATACATGTATCCATTCTCTCCCCAACCTGCCTCCCATTCAGGCTGCCACACAACATAAAGAGGTTCCTATGCTATACAGTAGGTCCTTGCTGGCTATCTATTTTAAATGTAGCAGGGTGTATACATCCATCCCAAACTCCCTCACTATCCCTTCCTCCCAACCTCTTCCCTGGCAAACACGAGTTCATTCTCTAAGTCTGTGAGTCTGTTTCTGTTAGAAAAATATACTCTTGTTTTTGAAGATGTTGCAGGGTAACGTTACATCTTACTGAATACATACTGTGTGTTAGGGAGCTTGTGTAAGCAATCTTTCATTCTCTAGAAAGAGTCTGCAGGATAGGTAATGTTAGAGAGGTCCAGTGAGGTGACTTTGTTCAGATCACACAACTGGTAAGGGCAGAGAATTAAGGCCGCCAGGTTGCCAAAGATTAGAGTGCCCGTGGTATCACATCCTGCCAACCAAGTGTCCGGCTCTGCCACCAGCCAGCCCTTGTGCCTTGAGACGTCAGGCTGGGACGGGAGAGTTCCCAAACAGCAGCTGCCAGGTGGGTGATGGCCTGTGGTGATATTTTGCTGTGTCCTTGGCAAAATGAGAAAAATAAGGACACTATAGAGAATCCATCATAAAGCTCAATGTATTCCATTTGAGGCACAGGGGCAGTCTTTCATTCTTTGTCTTTCTACCTTTTTTTTGGGGGGGGGGGTTGGTTTTCCAATGTTCATTAATTTATGAGATGACAGTAATAGCCTTTGGCAACTGACATTGAAGCTGGACCTCTTGGGCAACCAGACTTGAGGTGACACTGGGAGTTCCAAGGGTCAAAGGCAAAGTCTGAGGACTGGAAGTTCTGCCCTGGATCTCAGGGAGCAGAGATAGGGCACCATTAGTCAGGAAGATGGCGCAGAATCGAGAAGGGAGCAGACAAGTGACTCATGTGAGCCTGGTTTAAACCTCCTGCCCTCGGGGCACACGTCTGGGGCGTTACTCACGAGGGCTCTCAGAGCGAGGCAGTGTGGCGGCTTTCAGTCTTTGCTGCTTACCCCTGTGTGATCTGCACAAGGATACCTCTCTAGACCTCAGTTTCCTTTCTTGGGATAGGAGGCTAACATTACCTCCCCTAGAGAATTTTCTGAAAAATCAGAGATTACTTAGATAGACTCTCTGGCATGTGTATTTCTTAAAATGCCTGTGACTTGGCAGAAGAAAGAACCAGAAACCTGATACCAGTGTCCACTTATAAGAGATTAAACAGAGCCAGCAAGTCAAGGCTCAGGGGGTTGGGACAACCCTTCCTATCTCCAATGCCAGTGCCCACCCGCTCCATCTACCTTGGCACCTGAAAAGGTCACCTCCACCTCCAACCTTCTGCTCACACTTAGCGCCACTGTCTGTTCTGTGCATGGAAGGAGGCCCCCCAGGACACAGTTGAAAGGCTAGCAGAGGACCAGAATGTCATGAGACACGCACTTTATTTCCACTCTGTCTCTGAGTCACTTCCTCTTGCCGTTTCCACATCAACAGAATGGGGAACACATGCCTTTCCTCTGCAGAGGCCTGCTGAGAAGCCACTTAACGAATTGGCAATGACCTTGCAGTCTTGGGGAGCCAGGCCTGTGTTTCTGGGAAGCCGGGTCCTACTGGCTCCACGCAGCGCCCCTCCCCAGCCCAAGCCCGTTCAAACCCCAGTTCCTACTGGGTGGTGGCATTCTGCTTGCGCTGGGGAAGCCCAATCCATCACTTGTTTAATCCCTTCCCCTCCTCTCCAAGCATCCCTCCCCACTACCTTGCAAAGAAAGGACCCAGGAAGGTTGTGATTAATGCCAGCTCTAATTCAAAGTCATTCAAAAAACCTCTACTGAGACTCTGTCGCGTTTTCAGCCTGCCGCCTCCTCACGCCTTACCCACTCTGGATCATTCTCTTGCCAGCACTTTGTGACCAGAGGTCACCTGGCTGGGGCTGGCTCTCAGGGGGCGGGAGGGGGCTGGCTGAGGTGCAGCACCTGCTGTTTCTTGTTCACAGAACCTCTGTTCTCTCACTAGTTCAAGGGCTCTG